TAACTTCAAGATTTTATCAAAATACCCCCCTAATCTGATAAAATTCCAAAGTTAAAGGGGGGTTTTTTGATAAAATTTGAAAGTTAAATGGGGTTTTCTGATAATCCTTATAATTAAGGGGGGTTTTCCTAATATTTCTAAACTTAAGGGGGGCGTGTCTCTAACATTTACCCATTCAGTTTTCTACTATCTTGTACCATTTTTAGTGTTATCCTATTGCTTGATACTTTCCATATCCCTAAGTTTCTTTTATCTTGTTCGAGTATAAAATTGTAGTCCTCACTCGTCACCATAACTTATGAGTTTTTTTTACCTGAAATAGAGTTTAAGATGACATCGAAGTAGCCCAAGTTCTAATCCCACTGTGTACACGTTTAAAGTAGATTCTTTTTTGAAAAAGGAAATACTTTGTAGAATAGCTCAATTTTTTGCGCATGATTACTGTTGCCATGTTAAGAGTTTTCATGTTTGTTTTATTTTCCAATTTCTCTTCAAACACATGAGAATTTGCGGTCCATCCTACTTTTCAACCTTTAATCACAGACATTGGATTTAAGTGTTAAAGGTGGAAAATAGAATGCATTGCAAATTCTATTTTGTTGTCGTTTAATGTTTATTGAATTTGTAATGTCATTTTCTTCACAAAGCTAAATCTTTTCATCCAAAATTCCAGGTCTTGAAGTGATAATCTCAGTTCGTCCTGGAAATGTACCCCTCCCAGAAAACCACGGTTTTAAAACGATCAGATCCTTTGCAGAAATTTGAGCTTGTGCTAGCTTCTACACTGACTTAATGTATACCATTAATTGTATACCTCTCATCATGGAATGTTACTTATAAAACTGTATTATATGAGAGTGAGTGATTAATTGTCTTCTAGCAGGTAATTTGATATAAAAATAATCCTCAATTTTTTTAGCTGCCGAAGAAACTGGGATATTCCTACCTTTGATAATTATTTCATTGACAATTGGTAAATAAAGTGAGTAAATTATTATTATTATTCCTTAATACATGGGTAAATTAAATCCTACCCAGAATAGATATCTGATAGTTAATATCTCATTTTTGGTGCATTGGTGAAACAATGCTTTGAATCCTCTGTAGCATAGATAACTCACAATTGTATATCTTCCAGTTACGCAAATAATTGCAATATTTATTGGAGGAAAATCTGTACTTTTTTCCCCCAGAGAAATGCATTACCAATGCAGTTTGGATGTTTTTATTTATTTATTTAGTAGAGAGAGAGAGAGAGAGAGAGAGAGAGAGAGAGAGAGAGAGAGAGGAGAGAGAGAGGCAACAATGTTTGCTTCCAACAAATTAGCTTTTGCTCAGTTTTTTCACCAATTGTAAGTTTATTTACCTTCCGCAATTAAAATGTTGAAATCCAACCAATTTGATATATAAATTCTGTTGCAGTA